CTAAAGCAGGATACACTGTACGGTCTTTAACTTCATTATCTCATTTAATGCCTTTGTTTGTAAACTGTGTCCTGAAGGAAAGTCAAGAAAAAGGCAAAATATGAGTGCAAAAATATACAAAGCAGCAGAAATCAGAATAGCCTTCACTTTGTCCTCTGTTTGAAACTAGACAGTTACCAGAGGTGAGTATTAGAACAAGGTGGCTGGGTAATGTTACCTCCCTGGGGGATTATCCCAGCTTCCAACAATTTGCAGTTTAGGGACTTTGTCAGTCACAGTTGTATCTTGCATCTTCCCAACGTTTCTTTAAAGCGGTAAGTAGGCAGGAGGCTTTGGTCTAGATGCTTTAGTTCAAGGAGAGCAACCTTTGTTATTTTGCACCTTTCAGTGTATTTTTTCAAGTGTTGAATTCTTGTGACTGGTAGCTTTACATACTTCTCTGGTATTAGATTAAGTTATTTCTGATAAATTCATATTTACTCACCTTATATAAAAACTGGACCTTATATTACTGAAAATTTTATGTGGTTTTTATGCAGCAGTTTACATTTAACAATTTCAGTCTGCTTTAGATTGTATGGTAGGTTACCACATCTGAAAATGTTAAGCTTGCTTCCCTGTATGAGGGATAAGCAGGTCTGCTAGCACGCTAGCAACAAGCAGTCCTGTTTAAATTGTTAAGATCTTCAGATGTTAATTCAGTTGCAGTGCAGCCTTCTGCTTTGTCAAAATAATTTTTAGTTCAGCATTCAAATATTTCCCTGTTTGCTAGTTTTCTGTATTGTTCACATATCTGGCAGCAGAATAATACAGGGTAGTATCTCATGATTTAATTTCAAGTAGTTCATTTACATGACTAGAATAAAAAAATCTGCAGTTAGAATTTGTTACGTTTAAATGCATTGCAAAATGATTTTAGTATTAATGATGCTATTCTTGGATGGAGCGTATGGCAGAAATAAGTATATTGCTTTTAGTCAACTGGCTTACATTACATTACTTCACAGAAGATTGTTTGGAAAATTGAATAAAGCTCAGGTTGCTGACATGGGTTATATAGATGGGAAAGAATAGGCTAATACTGCACCTAAATAGAATATGAAGTAGTAGCCGGTTTATAAAATGTGAGACAGTTTCTTAGTGTAAGCTGTTAAGTTTCTTTATATAATGCTGGTTTCAAATTTTTTAGTGGTGGAATTTTTTTTCCAGATCACGCAGAGATTAGAAACCCCAAACTGTACATAGGATCCGCTGAATAACTTTGCAGTGCAGAACAAATTTCTTTTGAAGTGGTTTAAAAGTGGTCTGAGTAATACATTGATGCTCAACAAATTTTTTATTAGCTTACATATAAATATTTAAAAAGCATAGTCTCAATCATCTGGCTGTTTTTATAATTTCCCTGTCCTTCCTTCCTTACGCACATAGGATTTTGCATAATTCTTCACTGTATTTTTGGCTTTTTTATTAGGAATCCCTTTATGTTTTGTTTAAGGTGGAAAAAAATAGGTCATTTGAGTCTGGATGCTATTTTCCTGACTTCCTTATTTGTAGGATTAAAGAAAAAAAACTGTATGGATGCTTAGTTTTAGATTACTGGAGCTACAGTAACATAGCCATATGTGAGGATGATTAAAGTGCAGATTAAGCTTTGAAGGGGGGAGAATTTTTAATATCTGCATCTATTTTACATATTATTGTCTCTTTTCAATTTGCCACATAGTTACAATCATCCTCTTTAAATTAAGTGGCAGTGTTCTGGAACAAAATTCTGCTGCTTACACATGCTTTTTAAAATAAAAATACAGATTATTTTCTTCTTTAAGGTACATGTGTTCATAATTCAGCAGTTCAGTACTCCTTCAGGCAGAGGAGTGTTCCAGGGTGTAAGGTACAGTGAATTTTAATAATCCTCCATGAAAATATAATTGTGGGTGATGATACTGACCTTTCAGAATTTCAGTGTATCTGCTTATTTCAAAGCTATGTACCTGGGTTATTTTATTACTTTGTTATTGCTATTAATGCTTCTCAGCTTCCATTATCCAGCTGTAGTGCGCAGCGCCTTGCTGACTGATGTAAAAAGTTTAAACCTCTGTTGTCTTGAATATACTGTGTGGATGCTAACAGCTTGATCTTCAGTTGCGTAGTTGCATAACTTCTCATAACCCTGCCAGTCTACACCAGATACATGTTTGTGTCTCTTAAGGATCAGATTTAAAGCTTGGATGTGTTCTGTGTTGAAAAAAAACAGCTTTGTAGGTCTGAGTAATTGTGCTGGTGGTTGCTGCTGTCTGCTGCTGTTGCTTGCAGGGTGCTTGGCTGCACAGAACAGGATCAATGTTTAATGCGGTGCTTTTGGAGTTGCTGGAGGAGTGGAACAGTTGTAAGGAAAAAAAAGCTGGTTTTGTGACCTGCAGTAGGGCTGTGAAGCAGAGCCTACAAAGTCTGACATTTCTGTTTTCCTCAGGGCTGGGAAAAAAGCAGGCTTTTAGGATAGTGGAATATTTTGAGTGCTGTGGTGTGATCATAGAGACTGCTGTCAAGTTCAGAGATAACAGAGTGAATTCGCAAGTTGCCTGGGATCAAGACAGCAGAGTCTGTTACCAGTTTGTATGACTGTGGAGGAATGCATCTACCTGTGCTTCAGGTAGATGGTGGTAGATAGGGCACTGGAAATCCTGGTTTTATACAGCAGGGAATGAGTGTGCGTCATTTGTGGCAGATGAGGGGATGGTTTTACTGTTTTAGTAGAAGGCAGTGTGTCACTGAACAAAATCCTGGCACTTAAATGCCATTAGATTTATGTGTATCTGAGCTTACATCCAATTGTGGTGTTCTTTTCACATTCAGCATAATAGAATTTCAAGGACTCTTAGATTTAGCTGTCTTCAGGGCCAGAGGCCTCTGACTGCCAATCTGTTGTAATGTCTGCAACCTGTGGAGCTGCCTGATTTCGTGGATTTCTTCATGGATAGCATTTTTAGCAACTACAGTGGCAAGTGGCAGTGCAGTTTGGCAATAAAAGGCATGGGCAAGTCAGGCAGTCTTCCCTGAAATCTTACATTTTGATTGCATCCTTACTTTTCATCCCTCTGTGCTGGCTGAGCTCTTAAGCATCTTGCTGGTCTGGGAGAATGACGTGGGCAGGGCTGTATTTGTCTTGCATGTACTCAGCTGGTATATGAAGTGTTGTTATTGAAAGACTGATTTCTTCTTGACCTGCAAGGGTGGACAGACTCACACGTAGCAGTGTGGGGGTTTTTCATGTCTCAGGAGGAACATGTTACGGTAAGCGTTAGTTGTCATTCTGAGAGAAAACACAAGGATTTTAAATAAGCACTGGGATGTCTTGAGGATTTGTGAGACTGTATACCACATCTTGCGTCAAAGAACCTTTGCCTATATCACAGTCAGTTATATCTCATTGTATTACACGACAACATGTTCAAAATTAAATGAAACTTGCCCATAGCAGGGAAGTTTAGGATCATCTGCCTATAAAGTTGGATGGTAACTTGTTTTGTGTTCAGTATGTCCTCTGAGCATATGGTATAAAAAAAACTACACTGAGAGGAGACCAAAAACCTACCCCATCCCTGGCAGTATTTAAAGCCAGGTTGGACGGGGCTTGGAGAAACCTGGTCTAGTGGAAGATGTCCCTGCCTGTGACAGGGGGTTGGAACTGGATGAGCTTTAAGGTCCTTTCTAACCCAAACCAGTCTGTGATTTTGTGTTTCAGATTCAGCCTTACTTGCCAGAAGCTTTCTGGATGACAGCTAAACAGTGCACTGGTACTCATAGAGTGTGCCCAGCAGCACATTGGTGGGGGGACTGTGGAGTAACATGTAATCTGGAACCAATTTTTTTTTTGCTGTGAAACCTGAGCAGATCTTAGCACAGCCTTCATCCAGTTGATTCTATTTTGTGGTGCACAGTTACTTCAGAGATGAAGCCTGAATGTGGAAAAGCTATGTTAAGAGGAATCATGCTGTTTAGCTTTGACACATCTCTTTTAACTGCTGTCTTACAGTAAGCTAGAAGGAAATGGAAACTGTTTCCTTTGTGTTGCATGCACTGAATTTTGGTTCACTAACTCCCAAAGGTAAATTCCTAATGTACATGTTTTAGTTACAGCCATGTACCCCTAATCTCAGTGTTCTACTAGAAAGCAGTATTGAGGTAGTTTGGTTGCATAAAAAGTAAAAATGGAGTTTCCCTTACCTCTGCTTTCTACAGTCAGTTCATGGGTGCATTGGAAGCTGTAGCTGTGCTGTTAGCAGCAATGTAGGTTGAGGTGAACCTCGGCAGTATGTTGTTCATTTTAAAGTTATTTTCTGACAGTGGCTGTAAAAACATAATTATAAGGAAGGTGCAGATAACTGCAGAATTGTTTCTTCACATAAAGAATACTACCTTATTGATTGACTTCAGTCCTGAAATATGGAGGTTAATGGTACAGGGAGAGGAACCCAACATTCATTCTGATTCATGTAATTACAAATTGCTGTTCTGGATCAAAAATAGAGAGACAAAATGGTAACCAGTATCTATACTGTGTTGGAATAGATTATGCTTATGTAGAGTTCAAATGTAAATTCCCCCAGGTATTCATCTGCAGGTTTAGGATTGACTGTTCAGGATTCAGTGTTTCTCATATGATGTACCACTGGAAGAACATGTAGATGTATATTTGGCTGGTTTGAGCATATAGAGGAGATAATGAGTTTATATCCAGCTTTTTGCTTGCATCTCCAATGAAAGCCCAAGATTGTTTGCATCTCTCAATTCTTCTAAATTCTTCTACTTAGTTATTCATGAGAATGTGGCCTTAGTCAAAGTTAAAAATAAAACAAACCCAAAACCCAAGCAAAGAGGAAAAAAGCCCCCCCAAAAACAACAAAAGCAAACAAGTCAAAGGAAGAAGTTCATGAGGTATATGCCTTTCCCTCAGAGAAGCACAAGTTTTATTTATTGATCTTACAATTGTTCTTTTACAGTGAAATCAATGCCCGTCTTGATGCTGTGTCTGAAATTCTGCTGTCAGAATCCAGTATGTTTGGTCAGATTCGAAATCTTCTTTTTAAGCTGCCAGATATAGAAAGAGGCCTCTGCAGTGTTTTTCACAAAAAGGTATTTCCATAATTACCCTAATATACTGTTTCCCAAATGGTGTCATTTTTTCTTAATGTATTATAGTTTTTGCATGTTTGTTTAAACGTATTTTCTTCTTAGCAAGACTGAGGCTGACTTAATAAAAGGATATGAGTTCATAAAAATTACTTTTGCCTTATGGTAGAGCCTTATTTTTTTGTTAATCAGTGATTATGCTGATGGAAGAAATGCCTGAGTGTAGGGTTCAGGAATACATAAACTGTATTGCTAATGCTAAGAGGAAATACGTCTCTGGTATTTATGATTTAGTGGCTGGGTTCAGTGAGATGGGATGATGCAATATGTCCTTGTGCCATAAATTATTTCCCTATAAAAAACCCACTGCATTCTGTATGCTTATCTAAAATTGGGCTTGAAAGTGAAATCACTTAGCTGTAGTTAGCTGTTTTCAAATGAATGTTAATTTGTTTATAAATTCTGTACTTTGGATCTCACTTGAACATTTTAATAATTACATGTAATGAGACACTGAGTTCTTAGTTGAAGCAGATTAATCTGCTAATAGCACCTATGCAGTACTTCATGTTCTTTTATTTCACTGATATATTTAGAGTTTGACTGTTTGTTTTAGATAAGGGAATAGGTGGGTAGAAGGAGAGCAAAGTTGTAATTTTCTTTGGACGGTACAGCACAAAGTTTTCATCTCTCTGAAAATCTGAAACTTGGTTCTTGTGTAACTTTCAAAGCCCTAATGTGTTGTGGTGCTAGGCACATGGAAAGACTTCATGTGTCAATGAATGGTTACAGCCATAATGAAGTTTATGGAAAGAGGGAGTGTGCACCAACTTCCCCATCCTCTAAAATGTACCCTATCACAGAATCATAGGATGGTTTAGGTTGGAAAGGACTTTAAGGTCATCTGGTTCCAAACCCCTTGCCATGGGCAGGGAAACCTCACACTAGACCATGTTGTCCAAGGCTCTGTCCAGCCTGCCTTTGAACACTGCCAGAGATGAAGCATTTACCACTTCTTTGGGCAGCCTGTTCCAGTGCCTCACCACCCTCACAGTAAGAAGCTTTTTTTAAAGAAATGTTTGGAGGGATACATCTGTATTCCACAGCAACAACCTGGCAATCCTATCCTGTGCTTCCTTTTTTTTTTTTTTCCTATTCTTTTTCTTTTTTTTTTTTTTTTTATAGTAGTCAGCATGTGTTTCTTCAGGTGTCCCTTCTGTTGTAGGACTGCTTACCCTTCTCAGCTCTAAAGCTGTCATTTAGGTGGAAACATTTAGAGATCCTCAATTTTCATGTGATACTTGGAATGAGGTGATAATGTAGTTTGTGTTAACAATATCCACTATATCATGAAGATATATGTAGTGAATCAGATGTTGGAAAGAATCTGCAGGAGAGGAGGGTGCTCCCAGAGAATCCTCAAGAAGAGTAAATGAGGGGAAAAAGATCCAAGCATAATTTTTCCTCTCATGAATTAGCTTCCCTTGGTAAAAATCTAGTTTGTCATCCATTGCAGAACACTGTGAAGAGTCACTGAAGCACTGAGTATTCCCTGAAGGTCTCCTAGACTTTGAGGAGATGACAGCATCCCTGAAGGATGGGGTCTGTTTTGAATAAAGAATCAAAAGCAGACTTGGGGAAACAGATTTTCAGTCTAGACAGACAGTGGATATGGAATCTGAAGAAAGGTCTCTGCATAGTAGATACATATTCAGCAACATGGAGTAACTGGTTTTCATGAGGATTTGATACTTTGTTTGGTTTGGTTGGTTGGTTTTTCCCCCCTCCCCCAGAATATCCAGTTCCTGCTATAGAAAACTTTACAGTTCTGTTAATTCCATATATCCATCTCCCACATGCTCAAAATGAGGTTCACTGTAGTTTCATTCCCATTAAGGGATCCAGAATTTCAAGTGCAGGGCACTGGTGGCTTAACTAAACAAATGTGCTTGTTAGTTCAGTGTCAACTGCAGGAAAAATAGGTGAATGTGGCAACTCTTTCATCCTTCAGGCCATTTAGACTCCAGTGACTTAAGTATTTGAGGGGGTATGTTTCATGAAGGGAGAACTCTGAAGTGGACAGAGATAGCTGGGTTGGCTTAGTCATTCCCAACATCTTTCGTTCACATCAGCCACTGAAGAGCTTATTATTATGCAATGCACTTTGCACCGGTAACCTTTAGAGGAGACAGAAAAAAATGAAGGCAAAACAGTTCTCTGCTTTGGAACTGACTTATGGGAACTCTTCTGATAAATAACATCATTTTGTATTTTCCTGGTCTGACTTTTTGTGTTTTTGTGTTTTTTATTTTGTTTTGTTTTAGTAAGTCTGCTAATGCTTCTTGTTTGGTAACGTAATTCATATTGACAGTTGTTAAATGATCCTCCACAAGTTCCCATAGCCCCAAACCGAAACCACCAAACAGCATTGCTGATTTGCCTTCAGGTATGAGTAGCGTAGAGTTAGAACAGCATTATTGTAGTGGCAATTAGTTATTACCTTGGAGGTTGTGTTACCACCTTCAAGTTTGTCCCAGCTTGAAAAAGGACTATGGGAATGAATAAGGAGACAGGAACAAAGTTACTGTTCTATGGAGAGTAGAATTAATACAAGCACTGGTTCTTAGTTTTTACAGCTCCAGCATCTGACATCTTGCCCTGGCAGAAATGCTGTCAACAGCAGAATGGTCTCACCCTCCTTGGTGGCAAGAGAAGGGTGGCTGGAGAGCAACTGTTTGAAGACTTCTTGGTAACATTCAAAAGCTGACTTCAAGAGGAAACAGAGAATTGCCAAGAGCTTTGATTAGAAAGAGCCTGGAGCAGATGCAAAACTAGATCTTCCTGGAAGAACACATTGGTTCAACTGTTTTCCATAACCAGTTCAGCTGTGCCCCCTAGGCCCTGGAGAGAGCCACCAAATAATAGAACAAAATGTAGGCCACATGCATTTCCTTTTGTGATCTGCATCTTAGGACAGTGGGAAATATGAATAACAGGAACATATTTTTGTGTCTCAGTCAGAGTAATTACTCTTGTCTTGGAGTGCACATAAGGGCAGTACAGCAGTTGGAGACCTATGATTGAATAGGTCTAAAACCCAGTACAGAGTAAACATGTCATCAGTACTTTTAGTCATGTGTCCTACAGATCCATCCTGATGTTGCTTGCTGTTTTCATGCCTGGCTTCATGTAGTGTGTTTCAGAAGATAAACATTTATACAGCCTAGATCCCTAAATGTTTATCAGTACCTTTTGCACAGTAATTTTTATTTTGTCTTTTACTAAAGCTTAGTCACCAAAGTGAACAGGAATCATCATAACAAATAGTCACTGAATTTTAGAACAGGTTAAAGTGACGCTGTTCACTGAACTCCTGTACAAGGTATGAGGTCAAGAATCAAACCTTTCCTGGGTGTGTAGGAAAGTGTCATTTCAGTTTGTTCTGCTTCTGACGTCCGCCATAGGCTCTCCCTTGTTTGCAGTTCCTCACAATTTCTTGCAGTTGAAAAAGCCTGTTCAGTTCTAAATCACTCTCAAAAACTTTGAGCCCACTTAATCAGGGCTGCTCACCTGTGCAAAATAAAGTAGGTGGGCAGTTGCTTACAAAGGAGGGTGTTGGCTGCTTGGATGCTTCCAGGGGTTTACCCTTGGTTTTCCAGTGAATAGTTAACTGTTGTGCTCAGACTCCTTGGTGAAGAAGGGTGCTGCCTAGATGACTGCTGAGTGTTTAAAATCTTTGCTATAAGCTTGTCATCTAGAATGGTGCTGAAAATGTGCTCTTCTCTGAAAGGTGTGTTTAATACTTCATTGAAGATTGTGTTATTCAGCAACACAAGATTAGAGTAGATTCGGAGAAAAATGTTGTATTTCAAATTATTTTTTTTTCTCTTACTAAATCAATTAAATCAATATCTGCTGTATATGCCCAGCAAATTAGTTACTGTTTGAATAGAATGTTTAAAATAAATTCTCCCCATATCATGTTGTTGACTTCAGATAACATGTACCTTTTATATTTTATATTTTTTCTTCCATGAAAGCACATCTTGTGTATGCTATACTTTTAATCTTTTAAAGAATTTGTACCATAGATATTTTTAGACTTGCTTATTCGAACAAGTTGTCCCCTGATTATCTGAATTAATAGAAGTAGTGTCATAACAAGGGAACAGAGTAACCTTAAAATTAAATTCCTCATTTTTCCTAAACCAAAACCACTATGCTCACTATATTAAAAATATAAAGGTAGATACTGCATTTTGTAAGGAGTGATAATGTATGCTGCATTTCAACTCACTTTGTTTTTAATTTAAAATGCTTTTAATTTGGAGTGGTCGATGGCTGTCAGCTGTGTGTCTCTCCCGCTCCCTACTAGATCTGTAGGAGACAATTCCACTAATTCAAACAAGGCTAAATTGTTTTCAGTGTTGTTGAAAGTGTGTTAGAGCTGGCATACTGCTGTGGTCTTTCATGCATTGTTTTTGATGGAAATCCTAACCATTTTCAGTACAGTCGCATAAACTGCTGGTTGAAAGTATTGTTTTAGCATTGCTGTCAACTCTCAGGTTACTCTGCTTGTGCCAAAGAAACTGTAATAGCTACCATTGATGGTATTTCCAAGTTAGACTTCAAAACTTGCTTTGAATAAGCTTGTGAGAATCTTCTGTGAATGCAAGAATATTAATCCCACTTTGTGCAAACCATTTTTACTTCATTTTAAAGCTTCTAATATATAATAGTGTTACATGTATTTTCTAACGTTACTTAGGATTTAAGTGAAATCAGTCCCACTTTAATGGACCCTGGCTTTCCCGAAGTATTTTAATCATCTGTTCCAAGTTACATGTTTGCTTAGTTAATCATTTCTGCAGGGGAGCCATTAAATTTTAGATTCAGAGTCCTGCGGTGTTACTAAAATCAAGCCAAGAGAAACAGTAACACTCTGAATAAGCACAAAAAGGGTATGTTCACCCTCTTTCTTGGGAATGCTGCTTTTAACAATATTGTTTGCAGTAAATGCTGGATTTCTTGTTCTCCAAAGGTACTGTAGAACTTAGCTCACAGTAAAATCAGGTACGTTTTAACTCATTATATGTCTGTTATGGTGTGTAAGCTTTCACAGTTGCCATGAGAAGATTCGGCATGTTCATTAGACATCCTTTGAGAAATCTCATGATAACTTTCAGGGTCGTTTATGGCTTTGTACATGACCAAGGTTGTTTGTTCCCCCCTCTCAAATTCTTTTATAGATGACACTTTCTTGAAATCTAGTTTCATACCCCTACTGAAGCCTCACCCTCACAAGCCTCACCACCCTTACTGAAGAACATCTTAGAGAAGTTTTTATGTATTCTTAGAACTTTTTCCCACCTTCAGTAGGTATTGTACTCATTAAATCCCTTTTTTGTTCCTTTTTTTTAAAAGAACAATTAAAACAACCACCACCAGCTGGTCAACAGATGTATTTCTTACTGTCCATATTTTCTTGTTCTTCTTTTCTGGACATTGCTATAAATCAGATAATGCTATTTTTCAAGGACCAGTGTTGCAATTTAGTGTGGCATGGCTTCAGCCTTTGCCTCTTTGAGTTCATTTTGTAGTCAAGGGAAGTCTTGCAGACTTCTGTCCTTTTATCTACATCAGTGTTGATGATGATGATGTACTTGGTCATACTGTATTTTACTTTACCAGACCAAGCCTGGATTTATCATTTATTTAGTCTTTCAGACCTTTTGTTTGTGCTTTGACTTCAAATGCCATTGACAGATTTGCTGCTTTATTATTTATGTTCTTGTCAGAGCTTTTGCAAGATAGAATAAGTAAGCTCCAGATTATCAGAAAGATGCTGATAAATTGCAGCGAGTGCAGGGGAGAGCCAGAGTTTTCATGGGGCTGAAAAATGGATTGTTTACGAAGAAAGATTAAAAGACTATAGTTTGGTTAAATTGATGATTTGGTTAAATTGAGGAGAACATAAGGTTTAGAGATACTTGTTAACACCCTGTTAATAGCAGAAAAGCAGATGAGATAGTGTGGTACAAAAGAGTAAAACTAGAAACACTGGGATTAATTTGATGGAAGGGAAATTTAAGCTGTCTAATAAAGCTTTTACATGATGATACTTACTGCTTTATGATTAATTTCTGAAAGGAAGTGCTCAGCACACGGCTTCTAAGAATATTAGGGCCCAAGAGAAGACAAAAAGAAAACTCATGCAGAAAAATTCAACAGTTGCAGGAAACCACCCAATGGGTGTCTTATATCCCTAATTTACATAGATCTGAAACAAAGATGAATTTAGGTTTTCCAGAAACATTCAGAATGAAATCTCTTTGGTCTTCCAAAACTGTCACAAAATCATGGCTTGACTTCACGAACGAAGATTTGGGAAGGTCTTTTACTCACGCTTACTACAAGCACGCTGATGACTAAGAAGGCCAATGTGGGATAGGCAAATCCGGCTACAAAAAGCACAGCAGAAGGTCTCCTTGGGTGGAACACGTGGGGCGCGATTCTTCCTGTGTTGTCTTTTCTCCTCGAGACTAGTTCTTCGTGAACTCTCAAAGGAGTCAGCGGCATTATGTATGGTGTGCCTCCAAGTCTCCCGATTGGAGGCCAAGGTGGACCACTGATGGTAGTCAATATGGCCAAGGCTAAGGTATTGTTTCAGGGAGTCCTTATATCTCTTCTTTGGGGCACCTCTCTTGCGGCTACCGGTGGCAAGTTCACCGTAAAACACGATCTTGGGGAGGCGGTGATCCTTCATTCTAGAGGCGTGCCCTGCCCAGCGCAGCTGCAATTTCAGCAATATGGCCTCGATGCTGGTGACCCCTGCCTGTTCGAGGACAGTGACATTAGACACATAGTCAGTCCAATGGATGTTTAGAATTGTATGGAGGCAGTGCTGATGAAAGCGTTCCAGGAGTCGCAGGTGATGACAGTAGATGACCCATGATTCAGACCCATATAAAAGAGTAGACAGTACAATGGCTCTATAGACACTGATCTTTGTACTTTTCTTCAGGCGTTTATTACACCAGACTCTTTTATGGAGTTTTCCAAAGGCTCTATATGCCTTTGCTATTCTGTTGTCTATCTCTTTGTCGATCGTGGCATCCGAGGAAATGATGCTTCCCAGATAGCTGAACTGCTGAACTGTCTTAAGGTCTGACTCACCGATGGTAATATGAGGATGGCGATAATCTTCTTGCGGTGCAGGTTGGTAGAGGACTACTGTCTTCTTCAAGCTGACTTCCAGCCCAAAAACCGCAGCCGCCTCCACAAAGGAAGATGTTAAACGCTGCAGAGCTGCTTCTGTGTGGGCGACAAGGGCAGCATCATCAGCAAAGAGCAGTTCACGGACAAGATGGTTTAGGGTCTTAGTGTGGGCCTTCAGTCGCCTTAGATTGAATAGGCTACCATTGGTACGATATCGAATATAAATGACGTCTTGTTCGTCGAGGTCTGCTGTAGCCCTTTGGAGCATCATGCTGAAGAAGGTTGTACAAAATACTCATGGTTAAATTACACAGTCCTTTAGTGAAGTGTCCACCAACCTTGCCTGTTTGGTAGGGTTCTTTAGCATACAGCCATGCTTCAGGAGAGTATGTAGCAGATACTGGCTTTATGATAGCTTCAGTAACATTTAATTACTCCTGTGATTGAATGCATTTTAAATGGCCAGGAATGATTTTTTTTTTATTTTTATTTTTTGTTTAATAGAGCCTTTATGATAGAACAGATCAGTGAACATGCCAATTAAACTTAAAAATTATTTTCTTTCTAGCTTTATTGTTGTCAGTCTCTTACAACTTCCAGCAGTGATCTACTACTTCCAGAGTAGATTGTCAAGGCTGCAGTTCTAGATGTATCTTTATTCTGTGTTTATACAGCATGGAGGATGCTCTTCCTATTGCTGCTCACAGCAGTGACATGTATTTAATGAGAAGGCGGCCAAGGCTGTAACTGGAGTGTACATTAATTTATTGTTTATGGTTTTCAGAAGATTGCATTTATATGGTGTTCGTGTTGTGAAGGCATTACAGAACAAACTTATTTTAGGGTTACGTATGTGGGGAAGGAGGTGTTCCTTTAGAGCCCAGCATTTTTGTTAATACTTGCTTCTGGGTACATAAGTTATTTGACAGAAATAACCACAGTGTAATAGATGAGAGAATTGTTTTAGCTCTTGCATATGGCTGTGGGAAGGAAAGAGAATGAAAAATTTACCTCTGGGGAGAGATTTCGAAAGAGAAGGGATGGCAAAATAAAAATGCAGGAGTGTTTTATGAAATAGTGATTCATGGAAGCCTGCATGTTCTGCTGTTAATGTCGTACTGATTACCAGAAAACACTGACCAGAAACTGAATATTAGGCTGTTGCCTAGGTAGGAGAGAAAACATAATGTAGGAAGAAAAGGATGTGGCATACAAAGATTTTCATAGTAGAAGCATTCAGTTTGTCCTACTCCCTTCCTTGCATTCTCAGGTGAGGAAAACAAAATGTTTTTTTTCTGTATTGTCAGTGCACTGAAGAAGGAATATCTGATCTACAGATCAGTAAAATATGTTTTATACGTCTATATCCAGCAACAGGAGTAATGGGGATCAGCTGCCGACTGGTTCCTAACAATGGTGGTTGAAATAGTAGTATGCTTTATTAACCTTGTGAATGTGGTAAGACTATGCAGCTGTGTTAGAAATAGTACATCCATTTTTGTTGTATTTTTTATAATTTACAAAAGAGCATAAAAGCTCGTAGAATTAAATGAAAATATAATAATGCACCATAATGATTTAGACATTGCTTCCCTTCTCAGTGCTCAACCCAAGAGTTCTTCTTGATAGTCAGCACCCTGTCTCGCCTGGACTTGGAGATTCAAGCTCTTGTTCCAGTCATACATTCTTATGTGAAAACTCCTCTATTACAAAATGCACTGTTGGAAATCCCAGAACTTCTCTCCCCAGTGAAACATTATTTAAAGATCCTTAATGAAGAAGCAGCCAAGTAAGTAGAGAAAATACATGAATCTTCAGTGCTTCATAAACTTTCTGAGTAAAAGTATTCGATTATGAGGGTTACACATCTGGTTTTAATAAACCTTAGTTTTGTATTTTTTGTTTTATGTACAGGTTACTTAGTTAAAGCAGAGGTTGTTTTCTACAGCTTATATTCTTTTTTTCAAGTTAAGCTGTGAGAGAAAGTAGTTTGCTTAGTGGGTGTTTGCCTCAGGCTGCATAATTTTTTGAAAGTTTTTCAGCTTTTGGGGGGAATGAATTTAGAGCAAAATATGTTTTGCTCATGTTAATTTGTTTAACAATTTTTATTTTTTTTTTTTTTAAATAGAGAAGCTATTTTTTTTTGTGGAGAGACATGACCTTTAGCAGAGTGACTGCTCTGCTGTTAAGAATAAGCCTTTGACTTTTTTTGTGAAAATTCATCAAAGCTTCGAGTGCCCTCCATCCATTTCTAAAAATCTCTTTGCATGGTCACTAATGACAGAGAAAATAAGTTTAATAGTTTTATAGATGGATCTTCCTAAACTTCCATGCTGTAAGCAAGTTTCATTTAACTTTTAACATGATGATAGAAGACTGATTAGGTATTAATGAGATTAATTCTTAATGAGATCTAGTTGACTGTGGTATAGGTGAAGGTTCTTTGATGAAAGATGTGGTCTACAGTTTAATATGTTGCTGTATTGGGGCAGTATAGTCTTGGTGTTTTATTTTCAAAACAGACTGAAACTTCCATTCTATTTATAAAAACTTTTTTTATCTTTCTCCAACTGAGATTTAAAATTAAGAAATTTAAGAATTTAAGAGTGCCTAGACCTTATTTTGTTTGCTTCAGAATTAGAGACACATGCAAGGTGTGTAAATTTAGAAGTGGAGAAGGCTTGAAGTATTTGCTACGCCTATTGGACGGGTGGGATTATGAGATTTCTACTGATGAATGTGATCCAATTATAGTTGTGACAGGTTATGACAAAGCAGAGTGTATCTTAATTATACCAGAATTACTGTAGATAGGTGTAAAATATGCTTCCTTTTTTTTTCCTGTTACTGTATAGATAATGGCTTGAACAGCATACAAAAATAAGATATAATAATATTAGTAGAAGGTATCATCAGAGATCTGCAGAAGTTACACGTTTTATTTGCATTTATTCAAAATGACTGAAAGACCCTACCTTTTGGCCTTTATACAGTTAAAACTTGTGTGTCAGTATTATTTGGACTCAAACCCCTTTCTTTCATTGGAATCATGGTGACTACTTATACATACATGCACTTATATGTATACTGCATCATGTCTTAATTTTATTATGTGGTGTGGGTAAAATACTGTAGTGACATTCAAAAGCATACTTGTGATCCAGGGTTTTTTTTTAGGGGGTGTTTGAGATTTTGAGGTTTGTGGTTTTGGGTTGTTTGGTTTTTTTTTAAACTGTCAACTTTTATATTTTTGGTAGGCATCACACAGCAGTGACAATCTTCACAATCATCTGCTGGCTACTAGCAGTCTTTTTTTTTAGTGCATTCCCATGGAAACAGGTCTAATTAGCACAAAATTGTTTCTAAAAATTAATACTGTATTTTAAAATGACATTTTTGCTGTCATTTTGTGCAATAACTACAGCCACGTAATGCAAAAATCAAAGCACAGCTTAGTGTTACCTGTCTGGTCATTGGTTTGTGACCAGCTATAGTTTCATTCATAGGCAAAGGGATATTAAAGCAAGTAGACTATTAGACTTTTTATTGCTTCCATGTTTTATTGCTTTCAGTTTGCTAATTACTTGCTCTCCAAATATTAGAATTCAGGGTGATTATGCAATTAACTTGTACAGTTTTGTATTTGCTTTCAAATACAAATGTGTTTCCAGTTAACTTAGGGCTGATTTCACTACTTTGTTTGCCTGCTACTTATTAAGATAAGTTAAATTTTTGTTATTTTTGATGACAGCCATATTTTTAATAGCTTTTTCAGCTTCCCAGTTTTAAACATTTAAATGGCATTGTGCATTCAGGTTTCAATCCTGAGCTGAGATAGTGCAGCCAAAACAATTCTGTCATTTTCTGACACTGAGACTAGAAAAAGAGTCTTTGTTTTGCATGTATTAAAAATGCTCTAGTTAATCTTTTCCTTGAGAAAAGAAGGAAGCTGCTCCGAGAAACTCCTGATGACATTCTGCTTTGATGAAGGCCTATTGGGAGGGACTTCTCAATCCACATGATAATCTGTCAATTTGTCTAAATTCTTAATACATTTCAAATCCGTGTTCAGAAATTATCTAAAACTTTGCATTTAATCATGACAAAGATGTTGTCAGCACTTGGAGTGCACCAGGTTGGTACAGCAATTCCATTCCAGAATTAGGATTGAGGCAGAAAGGAATGGTTTTTCTTGTGCTTCCTTTTCTTGCTCTACTCAACTGAGGGAGAACAAACAGAAATCTGCAGAATGCACATCCAGAAACTGCAGGAAACCTGAGTCAGCAATACCAGAATGAGCATGAAGTGATACAGTAGAAAGAAACAGGAACAGATTGGGTTTGAACCATTTGGGGGGTTATCTTGGTGCAGCTTCTTAGAGCTCATGTACACAGTTCCTTTCTATTTATGTAGTGTGTATGACAGCTTTCTGTAAATGTGCTGTATCATGACGCAGTAGCAGACAACCTATATTTAGAGTGGAATAAAAAGCTGGTGTTAAAACAAATGAAAATTAACAAATAAAAGTATGGACACAGCCCATAGAATTAGAAAACTTATCTTCGGTTTTACCATTATTTTATCTTATGCTTCTTATGGATAGGACTGGAGATAAAACCCAGTTGTTCAAGGACCTTACAGACTTCCCTGTCATCAGAAAGAAAAAAGAGGAGATTCTGGATGTGCTTTCTAAAATCCAACTGCATCTGCTGGACATTCGTAAACAGATCAAGAACCCTTCTGCAGAATATGTTACAGTTTCTGGTCAAGAGGTAATATCGTATCTATTATATATGGCAGTACGCTTGCTTGTCAGAAAAACGGCTTAAAAGTTAGACTTAACTTGAACTTTCTTCATTTAATATGATACTCAATGAGGTCATATACTTTAAAGAACATGATTTTTTGTACAACTTCAAAGTCCAGTTTTGTGACACTTCACTTTTTTAAGTGAATTGCTTTAGTGATTCAGATAATAAACCCAGGTTATTTCAGTTGAGTTTGATTCAGTAATGTTTTGGTTTTCCACATATGTAGAAACGCTTGCATGCTTCCAGGGTTACTTATGTGGCTATTAAGTGCTGAAATATTCTCAGAGAACCAAAAAGCACATCATTAGGTTGATTTGAAGAATGGTAAAATGATTTGTAATTACTGATTAAAGCTGTAACTTGAAAGATGGGAGAGAAGAGAAACAGTTTTAAGAATGATACTTTTTTTTTTTACTTTTAGTTCTTAGAAATAGTAGTTGCAGAACAGAGCTTTTGTTTGCCAGATGCTGTGTAAGTGTGGGCAGGCCATGCTCCAGCTGCCTGAGAAGTTCAGTGCAAGAAAATGAAGAGAGATGGCAGATCCTGGTTGGTGGGGGAGCTGAAAGGAGTAGTGAGGTAGCTGTTCAGTTTTGGCCTTTGGCAGCTCAGAGTAGGAAGACTGGGGAAAATGCCACAGGAAACAGAAAAGAAAGGAGTTAGGGAACTAAGAGTTAGGAACAAGAGCTGGGAATAAAAAGAGTAAAGATAAGGAGGGAAAGAGCTGGAAGCAGCCCATTGTCACATTGGGGGCCTAGGAACGTGGAAAAGACCCAAGAGAAACATCATGGTCCTGATAGGGCATGGTGAAGGTGAGAGAGAGTCAGAAGGAATGGATTAAAGATAGCAGCATTTGATGAACACCTTAGGTGGGTATTGTCCGTCTATGATGGGGGTACAGAACTGATGGACAGGCATAGAGCAGTTGATGTCATCTACCTGGACTTGTGCAAAGCGTTCGACACTGTCCCGCATGACATCCTTGTCTCTAAATTGGAGAGACATCAATTTGATAGGTGGACCACTCAGTGGGTAAATAACTGGCTGGATGGCCGCACATGAAGGCTTGTGGTCAATGGCTCAGTCTCCAACTGGAGACCAGTAATGAGTGGTGTCCCTCAGGAATCACTGTTGGGACCAGTCTTGTTTGGTGACATGGTCAGTGGGATTGAGTGCACCCTCAGCAAGTTTGTCAATGACACCAAGCTGTATGGTTTGCTTGATACGGTGGAGGGAAGGAATGCCATCCAGAGGGACCTTGACACACTTGTGAGGTGGGCTGATGCCAACCTTACAAAGTTTAACCATGACAAGTGCAAGGTCCTGGGTCAGAGCAATCCCAGGCACAGCTACAGGCTGGGCAAAGAAGAGATTCAGAGCAGCCCTGTGGAGAAGGACTTGGGGGTGTTGGTCAATGAGAAACTTAACATGAGCCGGCTTCAGTGTGCACTCGCAGCCCAGAAAGCCAACTGTATCCTGGGCTTCATCAAAAGGATGAAGGATGTGTTAAAAATTAAACAGAGGAAGTTTAGATTGGATATAAGGAAGAAATTCTTTACTGTGAGGGTGGTGAGGCACTGGAATGGGTTGCCCAAGGAAGTTGCGAATACTCCATACCTGGCAGTGTTCAAGGCCAGGCTGGACAGCCTTGGGTGTCACAGTTTAGTGTAAGGTGTCCCTGCCCATGGCAGGGGGGTTGGAACTAGATGGTAAGATCCTTTCCAACTCTAACTATTCTATGATTCTGCGATTTTTGATGGTGAAGCTGGCAAGAGGAAGCATAGGTAAAGCTTTGGGGTAGGCTATTAGATGCTGACATCCAAAAGCAGAAATTTGGAAGAGTGTATTTGAGTATTGTGTGAGGAAGGGAAGGGCCAGGATTTGAGAGGTTTGTCTCAGAGAGGCTGCCTTAAAAGGTGGGTGATGACACGTGTGTGAAGAAAGGAGAAGAAGTAATTGATCAATGAGAGAGGAGCATCTGATGAAGTAGACAGATACAAGCTTACCAGGAGGGTTTGAGAAACGACCAGGCACTATGCACGTGTTCGTGAGAGGAGAGCTTTGTAATGGGACAGCTCAGAAGCCCTTGCAGACAGGCTGCCATGTCTTTGGTGTATTCGTGAAAGGAGCTGCAGAGCTTAGGGATAGTTGTTACTTAATTACATCTGGTATGGGTGTTTCAGAGACATCAAATAAAGCAATAGAGGGAGATGATTGTGAGGAAAGGAAGGATACTAAAGGAATGGAAGTAATGGAAAGGGGATTGTATGGGAGTTCCAGAGCAGTCTCCTTAAGTTACGCTGTCTTTTCAGTTCTGTATGGTGTATTCTCATATTCTTGTAGCAGTCTGATAGATGTAGTATTCAAATGCTTCCTCACATCAGACTTGGGCAGAAAGCAGGTTTATGATTTGCTAGTTCTGGAAGCTAGAGAAGCTGCCACGAAACTGTTTTATGCAACCCCCTACTCTTGAACAGCTGTTCAAGGTACAGGCCTTTTTGGAGAAAAAAAAAATAACTATTTTTTCCTTAATATGTGCTCCCAAAACCATGGTTGTGAACACATGGTTAGATTTTCAGAGTCAGCCCAGGTTGTTAACCTATGTTTGTTAAGTTCCTGTTGGAGTTCTGATGAAGATCTAGCTGACGCATACCTTTTCCAAAATACGAGGTTACCTCCCTATCTATCCTATCTTTTGTTTCCAGAACTGTAATGTAATTCATAGTGTGCACTGAACAGGACAGAAAGCAGTCTGGATAGCAATAGCATTGCTATTCATTTCAGGCAGGATTTAGAGAGGAATTGCTATATATGTCAAATACTGATTTCTTGTATTGCATAAGCAGTGCTTTGGTCCCATTTATTTATTATTGCAATTATTTATCTAATAGGGCTAAGAACGAAAGCAAATGCTTTTGTTTTTTTGAAGAAGATTGCAAACTCTCTGCTTGTTCCTCAGTAGCCACACAAACAGGCCGGGCGACTGAACTGGCTGTGTTAATTCAGACTGTTTTTAGTCATCCAGCACAGACACAGTTGTCACACTATTTTGTGTCTTCCTTTCCTAAACACTGGATATTGGAGATGATCTTCAGAAAAAGCTGTAATACCAGCACATCAGCAACACCACTAGTGGTGGCAGCAGTTGTCTCATGTTCAGATCTTTGCAGACCTCTGCTTTTACCCATTTTCAGTCTTTTTATCTCACACGTGTCATGCAGTTTCAGGGTTTCTACATTAACCAAATATGTTAAAAGTGTCTTATATGAATTAAAAACTAGTGCACTATGTCCTTGCTGGAGTCTTGTGCTCACATTAGAATTATCCTTCTTCTCTGTACTTGAGGGTGATTGCTGGCTGTTCTGGTGAGGTGTGGGAGTTTTTATCTAAAACGTACTAAATGTAATGGAAAAGCTTTGTCAGCTTTTCTGTGAAGGTGGTCAGATTCTGAGTTAATCTAATCTCTGGTAAAAATCTGGTTTCCAGTTGAAATTTTTCATTTGAGAATGCCTCAATTCTTTGACATCCAGGACCTCAGGCTAGTGTTATAAAGATAACGGACATGAATCATATAAAATACAGCAATAAACAAATCATATAAATTACACTGTACTGAGCCTCTTGCTACTACTTTCCTTGTTCCTTCACTTTCTGACCCCAAGTTGATAGAAACTCGATGGAAGGTACTGTTGATGCAGTGCTAGCATTTGAGAGTTTGAGCTCCTGTCTGTGAAATGTAGGTGGCTGTGGCTCAGCAGAATCACTGATCCCGAGGCAGGAGGACACATCTCTCTGATAAGGAGTAGCTTTATCAGGTGATCTATAGCATAGAGTCAGTGTAAATGCTAAATTCTCTACAAGCCCCAGTCAGGATCAGATAAGTAAAACTTACCTACTAGCTTTAGTATGGCTTTGGCTTAGTAAGAGGAAGGTGAGGAGAACGTGTTTGTGGGTTTGAATAGAAGGGCAGAGATGGGGCAGCAACATGGTAGGGCTCAAGAACAGGATAGGAGTTGCTTGTTTGTCAGAAAATATTTATGCCATAACCCTCACTAGTGGGGCAAAAAACATTAGCTTCTGGTCTGCTCAGTCAGTGTAGGCTGATCTTGGTTTTCTTCTGATGCATGCAGATTTCCTGATGCATGATGATTATGATTCTGTAATCTTTCTTACATCCCATGGTGTGTAATATTATATTTCTGTTTATTTTAGTTCACGGTAGAAGTCAAGAATTCCCATAAATCATCTGTGCCATCTGACTGGGTTATGGTTAGTAGGTATGTAAAATCTCTTTGAAGTTTGTTCTGTTTTTATATTAAGAGTGGTATTTTAGTATTACAGTTAATTACATACACATTCTCATTGCTCCATGTGTTTGTGGTTTTGGTTTCATTTTTTATTTGAAAACCAACCAACCAACATTGTTAATTTATTGCCATAGTCAGTTTTGCTTAAACACAACAAAAACAAATTGAAAAAACAGAGTCCTTAAAATGTTTGTTTTTACATGGTATATCCTTGGTGCACTATGTTACTTGCTTAATCTTTCATACATGAAAGTATGTATGCTGGTGTCCAGAATTACAGTCTGAATTCAGTTTTGCCTGTAGCTTGTACATACAAATCTTTCATAAAATTTTGATCTTATTCAGACAGGTGAAGGTAGCTGTGCATCTCAATATAGCCATTCCATTTAAAATGTCATTTCACGTATTCATACAGGCAAGGTTTGCTTGCTGTGGTACTTCATGTTGTGTAATTATGATTTTAAATAGCTTTGGATACTTTTCCCAGTAGATGAAACAAAGATAAGTTGAATTATGTAGTTGGCTTTTTTCTTTTCAGTAATTTATTTTATTATTTAAACAGGTGGAATACCTGAATGTTACAATTTGTAGAGTCCATGTATGTGTAGAGTCCAGTGCTGTAGTGTGTGGAGTCCAATATTATAATGCATAGTGTTCTTTACAAGGCCTGGTGTGTGTAATGTGTGAGCACAAACATCTTGCGCCAGAAATAGGCATAATCAAGGTGGACCCTGAAGCTACCTTCTATCCACTTACACAAGAATTCAGTATTAAAAGCACACAAATCAGACAGAATGAACATGATGAAGAACAAATTACAGCTAATCTGGATTTTGTAAAATAATGCCTGGGAATGCGAAAGTGACTCCTTAATCAAAATGCATACATAAATAGCAAGTGTACAAAGAGAAACTTACAAGACAATCTGTATTTACTAAGTTTATTACAGGTTCATCATGAAGTTTTCCTCTTTAAAGTGATTTTTTTTTTTTCTTGGAGTTCCTTATACATGCAATCACAGAAAAGTCATCCCTTTGTGCAGTGTATTGCTGAACAAAATTTTGTGAAATGTATAAACTGAAGTAATAATATGCTACATTGTAAAAAACATTTCAAGAGCCTTATGAATGGGTAGCAATGCAGTAACTTTATTCACAGCAAAAATAATTGGAATCAATAGAGTTTGGTACCAAAATAAAAGACTTCTTTATTTATTTTTTAAACATTTATTTTTTAAACATTTATTTTCAGAGCTCACAAAAGACAAACTAGTCCAATTTTGTATGGATGGTGTAACTGATTGCTTAGTAACCTTTATTTCATATTTGGCTTTTCTCTCTTTTTCCAGTACAAAAACTGTCAGCCGTTTCCACTCTCCTTTTATTATAGAAAATTACAGACATCTGAATCAGCTCCGGGAGCAGCTAGTCCTTGACTGTAGTGCTGAATGGCTACGATTTTTAGAGTGAGTTTCCAAAATAGAGTCATTTTTTGTCATTGTATTTATTTTTTTTAAGATTAAGATTTTTCTTTTTCTGTTGTTATAGTGGAAATAAAATAATAAACATTGATAATTTAATTATATTGCCCACAACAACTTCAAAGAGAGTCAATTAAAATATTATTCTTCACTTTAAAGCATTTGGATGCAAGAAATTTGCAGACTGAGTCCTGAGACCAGCAGAGATATCTCTAGATTTTACAATTCTGATGAAAATACACTATTAAATATATAAAAGTGGCTTGCAAAATTTGAAAGCTATTAGCACTGCATTAAAAACCTGAAAGTAACATTTTGAGTTAAACCAAATCTAGTAATTTTACTATTACAGTACAAGGTAATTGAACTGGAAAAAAGAATTTAATATACAAGTTAACCAAATTCACTTCTAATCTTAATTGAAATAGAGTATGTCTTTGCTGTTAAGTGTTCCATTACCTAAAAAAAACAAATAATTAAGTACTGTAACTTGACAGGGTTTGAGTTAGGAATGTTCAGGGTGCCCAAAGGCAGACCCTTGGCTTAGTGTGATTTATCATACTCCTATGTTTCGTATGCTATCCCTGCCAGTTGACTGGGTCTGTTTGATAGAAAGTAATGGGGCTGTTCCTGTCCCTTATAATGGGCACAGAAGACCTGTTTGTCTCAGATCTAAGTTTTGAATAAAGTTATTTGGCTATTTAGCCAAAGGATCTTTAAAATGGGAGTTTAAAAAATATTTCTCAGACTTCTAAATACCTTTTAATTTTTCAGGTGTCTGGTTGTCAAATATATTTTTTTTACTTCCATAAATTACAGACCCATTGAAATTGTCCCTCTTGTCACAAAGCGGTATTTGGCTTGCTTTCATCTGTGCTTTTTCCCTCATTGTGAAACCTTAAGAAGTTCCTTCAGAAATTGTGTCATGGGACATAACTGATGCCAAGGTTTGCCTCCTAGTAGAAGCCTAGCAATTCCTTAAATTTTGTAGAAATCAGAAAATACATTCCAGTTAACCCTTCTCCTGCTGTGTTGCCTTTGCAATACTGTAAAAATAGTTCTCTTAAATAATTTGTCACTGTATCAGCCATGTAAGTTTGAGTAGACCTATTTTAACCTTTCTTCACTTAGAGAACTGCTGCTTTCATGGTCACTTTGCTGTTGTCCGTGGCCTTGTATGATAGAATGATAGAATTGTTTAGGTTGGAAAAGACCAAGATCATCAAGTCCAACCGTTGCCCCAGAACTGCCAAGGCCACCACTAACCCAAGACACTAAAGGCCTTTTCTACACAGGGATAGTGACTCCACCACTGCCCTGGGCAGCCTGTTCCAATGCCTGAGCACCCTTTCGGGGAAGAAATTGTTCCTAACATCCAGTCTGACTCTCTCCTGGTGCATCTTGAGGCTGTTACCTGTTGTCCTAGCCTTTGTTACTTGGGAGATGAGACCAGCTGTAGGACTTGTGTGTAGGAAAGTGTTCTTGTTCCCCAGCTCTCAATTTTATTTTTTTATTAAAATGACTTAGTTTTGCCCCCCCTACTGGTTTTATATTCCATGCTGTATCTTTGAGATGATGAGAGGGAGAAAAAAAGAAATTCTTCAGGACTATGTGAATGAACTCTACTGAAAACTGTGTCTTCCTGGTAACATTGTTATTCTATTGGGGAAGCAGTACCATAGATGGGAAATTAATTCTTATATTTTCTGCTGTAGATACCACCCTTTACTGAAATTGTAGGCAATTTGTGCATACATGCACTTTCAGGTTTTTGCGGGTTTTTGATGAACATAAGGTTGAAGTGAATCACCAGTTGGGATTGAGTTGCCACTGTGATAAATAGCAGCATTTGTATAAGCATCATGTAGGCAGCAGGGATCAGCTGAAAACCCTTTATATATGATCTAATGAATTTCATTTTGTCTGCTTTTTTTTGAATTCCATCTTGATTAAAGATTGTGTCCTCATATTGTAACTTAATACACTGCTGGGAGTTTTGAATTCAGAGTAATTTTAAGAGCCTGGGAGCTCTGTGAGAAGACTGAGTGGGGTATATTCTGACAGTACATTTGTATCTGTATGAAATTATTTTTTTCTCTTCCGTATCTTATCTTTGTTTTGGTGTAGCCATTTCAATGAACATTATCACCCTCTGTCTAAAGCGGTTGGTCACTTAGCAGCTATTGACTGCCTGTTCTCATTGGCCCAGGTGGCTAAACAAGGAGACTACTGCAGGTAATGAATTTTTAATTTTATGTAGGCTGTTACAGGAAGTAGTTAAATTAAATTTGAATTTTAATAGGTATACTATGACACATTATTAAAATTGTTTACAGTGGATTCAACTTAATCTGATTTTGCAAAGCGACAGTTCTGTGCTTCGTGCAGATCTATAAACATTAGCTCAAATTTGACATCTTATGTTTGTCTGTTGTTTGACCTGACTCTGGTAGGTGGTATCTCACATGTACATAAATATATGTTGGACTTTGTGCAGAAATTTTTTCTTCTCTTTCTCATCAAGGTCTGAATTTATAAAGTCTTTCTAATACCTAAAATTCTAGATATGTTTCAAGGATGTATTTCAGGTAAATATAGTACAAATAACAAATTACAGGTAAATATAGGTAAACAACAGGTAAATATTAGTACTAACTTCCAGAACAGTGATGATGGTTCACCCAGGATCATGTATTTAGCCTGATGAGCTGTGCAACTTACATGTACCCCAGGCACACCAGCCTGGGACTCTGGTGGTGCCAGGGTTGTTCCCCAGTTTCTCTGTGCAGGGGAGACACAAACACTCAAGTCCTGCTTCACCAGAGGTTGGTTCAGAGCTGGCTTCTGAGCCTGAACACCCTCCAGCTGGGTCTTCCTCCCACTCAGGAGCCCACATCTCTTGCACCCCCACAGAGACAGTCAGTCTCACTGGAGTGCTTTCTTCCATGCATTGGGGTTTCTGTCCCCAAAGGCACTGGATGTTCACTGGGCCAGCCACTGCTTCAACCTGCTGAGTGCTGTCCTAGAGGGCAGCCCTTACTGTTTCTGAGGTTTACTGGAGACACTTCTGCAGGGGCTGTTGGCTTCCAGTCCTCAACCATTCAGTCTGTCACACAGTCTGCATTGACTCTCTTTTGAAAATGTGTTTTCAGAAAAACCCTCTCAAATATTATCATGGTGGGGCTGTGCTGCAAGTGCTCCTACAGCTGCTTTGGAATAACTGTATGAATTCTTAACATTTGAGACCCATGGAAATACAACAAATCATGTCTTAAGTGTGTGTGGACGCAGGGAAATCAGCTTACGTGTGCTGATCACTTCTGGACTCTTGGGATCTTGTGTCCCTCTGTCAAAATGTCTTTGAAACTAATTGCTTGGTTCTGTATACTCAGATGAGAAAACAAATTGAAATCTGATTTGTTCACTGTTCAGAGTTCAAATAATTCACTGAATTTTGAAGAGTGGCTTAGAACCACATACAAGCTGGCAAGGAGACTTCTTAGTGAAGCTTCAGGGAAGGTGTCTGTAATTCATTTTGGAGGGCTACTGAAGGAAAGCTTTTCACATTAACTAATATAAGTATTTCAGAGGAATGTTTCTGGTTGATTGAGGATTGTTGCCTACCACCCTACTTGAGGCATATAAACAAGTTGTGAAGTCAGGACATGGGTGCTCCACACAGTTGTTGGAGAGAGAGGAGCACCTTCTACAGCTTTGAGGCATCTCACAACCCCTGCATTGGAAGACTCATCCTTTACATAAAGGATTACAAAATGAACATCACGGCTCCTGGGCAGCAAGGTTAGGTGCCTAAAGATGATGTAGGTAGTCCAGAGATGATCATGTGATGTTTGAGAATCTACTCTGCAGACTGAATTTGTTTAACTTGAAGGAATGCTGTTGGGAAGGTGGTACCTGACTGAAGGACTTGTTATGCATTCCAGAGGAATTTTAATTTAATTTAATTTAATTTTATTTTATTTTTCTGTCTTATGATTCATAATTGTGTGATTGTAGGAGCACACGGCAGGGGAGAGCTCTTGTATTACTATAGCTGAAGCAATACTTCCATGGACCCCTTAGAAGCCAGAACAGGCAGTTAGCAAGATTCATGGCATCCTGAAACCACATCCTGTCTCACAGATACTTGGAAGGAGGATCAAGCAGTTAAAAAAGGGAATTATTTCCAAACCTGAGGGCAGAATTATGAAATGGCAAATGGGTCACTTAGCTGTCATCTCCCTCTCTTGAATACAAAGTGGAGAGGTACAGGTGGAAGTACTTCTAGGTATGTGCTCCTCTTTTCAGACCATCGTATTACAGCTTCAACTTATGCATCCAGCAAGTGTAGAGTGAAATTTCCTTTCTTTGTCCCCAAGGCCTAAGACCCTGTTTGTATTGGTTTCATCTCAGTCATACAACCGCTGGAAGTATCTTTATGCTGAAAAAAAACCCAAAAAGAAATAGTCGTCATAATTCAGTTGAACATGCTGCTTTTGCCTTTTTTGTTCTCTGAAGAACATGCAGCTCTTGGAGATGGAGGTTTTCAGACATGGAGATATGTAAGAATTATACATGTTACATTAGTAGACATGTAGACAAATTTACAGCTAAGGTGGAAGCATTTGAGACAAAACTTTCTACATGACTTGGAGATGAGAGAAAAAAAGTGTTGATCTGTTTGCATGTTAATTTATAAAAAGGTACTGTCATTTCAGTGTTTCAACTTAGGTAGTAAGCTCTTTTATAGACAGTTGTTTGGTGACTGTTATTGGATGTTGCTGTCGGATTGCAAGAGCTGTAATGTTTATTGAAAGATTATTGCCTCATCATACCCTAGTCTTTGATGTGGACAATTTTCTTTACTCCGATGCTCCACTTAGGACTTAATGTAGTAACAGGCTGAACCAGTTCATAGCAAGATCATTCTGAGAATATGAAATGTGTCTGCAGAAAGTGGCACTTGGCAGAAGTTGGTGCAATGATGGGATGAAAGCAAACTCATCAGTTTGGGAGTTTTGCTATTGCTAATTCAATTTGTAGTTCTTAATAGTTTTTTTTAGAATACACATAAACAACTGAAAACTTTCCCTAGGCCATGAAAACTGAAGAAAATACTCTAAAGTTTCTTTTTTTTCCAATCTGCTAATATTCTAATGTGTTTTTTTTATGCCTGAATGACACCAAGGAATTCTTTAAAAATGCCTGATAGCACTAATTAATTTTTCTCTCTCCACCCACTCCCCAAAATCTGCATCATAGATGAACCTCCTGCATGATTTAGTTACAGTAGTTCTAAATAATCAGTTACAATAAACATTGAAATTAATGTCTCTTCTTTTTTGCAGACCAACTGTGCAAGATAACCGGCGAGAAATAATTATAAAAAACGGGAGGCACCCTGTGATTGATGCATTGCTGGGAGAGGAGGATCAGTATGTTCCAAATTCCACTAACCTCTCAGTAAGTACTGAGATATCATTTCAACTTCAGATAATTCAAGGAAAGGAATCTCGGATTTGCTTCTTGCCAGGAAGTTACAATAAATAATTTATTCACACAACTGTCTGCTTGCAATTCAGAGAGGGATAGCTAGATGTGTCCCAGACTGTTTTGTCCTTTTCCTGCTATGTTTAGAGACAGATGCTCTCTTTACAGCCTTGTTCCGTCTTAGTGGCGTAAAGAAAAGAGATCTCAAAGTCAGGAAAACGAAAGTTTAAATGGTCATTAAAAAAAAAAAACCAAAACACCACAGTTTTTTTAACAGCTTCATCAGAAGGAGTCTGCATTTTGTCATAACTTTATCACAAACTTGTGGAGTTTTTTAATGTAGAAGATAGCAACAACTGAAGAATCATAGAATCAGCTAGTTTGAAAAAGGCCTTTAAGACCAAGTCCAACCATTACCCTAGGACTGCCAAGACCACCAGTAAACCATATCACTTAGGGCCTCATCTATACAGTTAAGTTTTCTGACTTAAGTCTCCGTGTAACATGTTACAGGCTCAGTTTTCCAAGTTAATTCTCAGATAGCTCAGATTTTTTTTTTTCAGATATTTATCTGCTTGTAATTTCCTTTCTTTCTGGAAGTATTAATTTCATACAGCGTTTCTTGCTCTGACTAAGCAGGTTTGGAGCTCTGATTCTTCGCTATATTGTATCAAGTACACACTCTGTAGATGGAACGTTAGTTCTAAGAAGTCTTTCGTATTAATATATGATAAAGATCCCCTCCTGCAAAGTGTAGCTTGCAGCCTATATGTTACTTCTAAGTCTCCCTCTGACTTATTTTCCGCAATAATCATGTTGCGAAGTAGTAAGACTATTATTTACTTGTATTGTTGTCAGTAGGTCAGAGAAAGCGTGGGTGCTGCTTCTTAACATTTTCTATGCAATGTTACCCGAATTGTATGACATACATTGCCTAAAGTTGCTATAAATATGCAATTATCATATGTAGGAAACACTGCTGTATTTTATTTCACCTAATCTGTTTCTGATAAACATATTTTAGTTTGTTCGTCCTTTTTTCCTCTAAAAAAAATACAGCCTGTCTTTTAAGTTACATGTCCTTTTGACATTTTTGTTAAATATTTACCTGTCTATATATTTTTTGAAATATTACACATCTGTTCTTAATGCATGTAAAAGATAGGCTCGCAACTTAACTGTGAATGCATAAATGCCTTTTCATACAGTAAAGATATAAAAGGTATGAAACAGATGTCAGTGAGGAGCATTGCTGTGATCAACACCATTCAGATTTGTATATCTATTTCTTAGGAAATATTTTTAAATGCTCTTCTATCCTGCACAGTGATACAGCTATTGTGCAATAGTTCAGGGAATGTTTTTGAAATTATTTGTCAACTCCAAACAAGTGGCAGATGGCACTTACAAAAATTCATCACTTCATTCAGTAATCATCATGCACTTTCCCCTCTTAGTCCCATTCTTATGTTGGCTTTCTAAATACTGAATATTACAAAATTAAGTGAGCGTGGTAGAATCACTCTTGCCTCTACTGCTGGTTTCAGCTCTCTGTTTTTTGAGAGAGGTGGGTGGGAACTCAGTTTATTAAAATGCCTCTTTTTTTAAACAGCTGTGTTTGAATCAGCAAGAAAATGGATCTTTTGTCATGTTTTCAGCTGAAATGTTGTTGAATATCTAACTTCAGGAAAAGGTTTCTTGCAGTGCCCTGAAATAAACATTCTTCCATTCCCCCTCTCCTCCACAAACATTCATGGATTCATTTATTACTTTTAACTTCAGCCATAAATTTCAGTGAGATGTTAGCTTATGTTCGCATGCGGTTCTAAGGGCAGATGGGCTTTGTGGCCTGGTGTTACAGCCTATGTTCTTTTTGAAAGCTGGCATTGCAAGCCAGCCACCAGCCTCACAGCATGGTTGGAGGGACCCTGGAGAGATACCAAACATGCATGAAATCTGTGGAATCCAGCAGATGAACTCATTCTGGTTTTAGATGTCTATAAATTCTGTTGTGTTGAGCCCAGTGGTGGCCGTGATGAAGTTTTAGTAGCAGTGTTGAAACTATACCTTAGAGATTAAGTTGTGGGTTTTTCTCCTGTACAGTCATATGCATTTTATTACATCCATCCTTTATTTCTGAGAGTGGCATTTTCTGGATTTGTACTTTATTCTGAATTCCACATAGATGGGGTTTCCTCCACAAAATCTGAACAGCTTCTTACATATAATAAATACTGATTGCATGTATCTTCTGTATGATCAGGATCATGACATGTGACAGTCCTGTCTGAATTTTATTAACCTCCTTGTTAACAAAATGAAAGCTCTATCAAAATACAGATTTGTAAAGATTGTGATGTTTATTCTGTGAAGATTTTGTTGTTGTCGTTGTCACAATGCTTAATCAGTTCCAAGATTCCTAAGTGGTCTGGCTAATGTTCATTATGCACTGCTTGTCCTTTCTTCCATGCCCTTCCCATGGAGCAATGGAATATGCTGATTTTTGGTTAGTTCATCAAATTGTTGGATTTCATTGTACGTACCCAGTAGAAAGTAGAAGCTTAATTGCCCAAAGTCCTTGCATAACTTAATTTCCTAGCCTTGAGTTAGGCTACGAGAAAGCCTTATAGATTCATTGATGAGTTTTAATTCTGTATTAGCAATGGGCTTGCACAGAGTTTTATTCTGTAGCCATAGACAAGTAGCAGTATTGCTGGGAGTCTTACTGCTGAGATGAGCTCTTGCACCTGATTTTATTTTCCATAGGATTTCAGTGGTTAGGTGCACTGATCAATCAGAGATTGGATGCAGTTAACTCACAGTTTCTGTGTTGCAGTCAAATACTGCCGAAGTCGGCAATGTCTTCATTTCTTGTATAGCCAGTCTGTTTAAATGTGCTTATGTTCAACCAAGGCAAGCAATTATGAATGGGTGTAAAACCTATGTCATATCTTTGTCTGCCAGATCTATTCATTTGGCAATAAGAACTCTCTAACTGGAGAGGAATCCAGATCACAACCAAAATTGGACAGCACGGGCTATGCTGAAAGCTGATGAGTTTCTCCCTTTCTCCACAGAAAATGGCACACAGAATTGCTGGAGTGCATTCTTGGCTCCTTAATGGAGAATGAGAAGGTTCCCCCTCACTGTCCATTTTGCTGAAGAGTAATAGAAGCTGATACTTCTGTCTCAGTAGTCTAGAAAGGTCTTGGGAAGATTTATCCACCTGGGACTTTACAATATCTTAAAATGTGAATGTGATGAACTCCAAGAATGAAGCAGGCTGTTCACCTAGAAACAGAACGTTTAATCCTAAGTACTTGTCCTGTATACCTCTAAGCAATGTACACACAACATACTTTCTCATAGAAGCACCAGGTGCTGGACAATATTTGACCACTGTTTTATGTTTCCAGGGGGATGGTGAAAGGGTCATGATAATAACTGGACCTAACATGGGAGGAAAAAGCTCCTATATAAAGCAAGTTGCATTGATCACAGTCATGGCACAGATTGGTTCTTATGTTCCTGCAGAGGAGGCAACAGTTGGTATTGTGGATGGTATTTTTACCAGGTAATCTTTCAAAACTTGCTGTGTTTTGAAAACGTTATTTTGACATCAGGGTGGGGTGGGGCAGGGAGGGTGTTGGTTTTGAATCTTTAAAGGATAAGAGTGTTAATGTGTCTGTCTTGATTAAGATCCAGGTACCTAACTTCATCTGCCTGAATGAACATCTCAGCCAAGTTTATTCTTCTGGGTTATAGCCAAATGATGCTTCTCCTAAAATAAATGCTGTCACCTTTAAAAATCATGTCAGTTTCTGCTGTGCAGTGCAGTTGTGTATGCTCACAGTATTTGAGACTGAGAATGTGGGGCTGCATATGTTCTCTGCTTACTATCCTTCCTCTACTAGCAGTCTTGAACATACTTTACTCTTTTATCGAATGAATATGGCAGTTCATTTCACTCAGTCTCATTTTTAAGGTAGTGAAAAACTCAGTTTTAAGCTCAGTGATTTTTAAAGATTGTAAGTACAGTCAAAACTTTCATATTTTATACTCTCATATTACCAAGAATTATTCATCTGTTTTTTTCTGTTTCTTTAATCTCTTTGTTAATCAGCAATAGTTCTGTGTTAGTGGCGGTATTTTAGATAGAAAATTGCTTACAGTTATAATCTTCACAACAAATGTATATGTGTGGTACAGTTACCTTTCCTGAAATTCTAGAGATGGCAGTGTACATGTCAGAGTTTACTCTGAGGAGAACTTGTAATACTGCTCATCTGGGATTGCTTCATCATGTAAAGATGTTATATTCATATGCCACACTGTGTCATGACAAAAATTAATGAAACTGCACTTTGATGCACTTCAGTGCTAACTGCTAAGCACTTGAATGAAATAGAAAACAATCGGTATTATCTTTCCAAAATTAATTTGAGCTGAAAATTCAAAATGGTTCTTTTTTTTTTTTTTCCCTAACCTTCTGTTGAAAGTAATTAACTGGCTGATTGGATGAGCATTTCACAAGGAGCATGGAGATACAGAAGATTCACTTTACGTTAGAGAAAGAAACATTACAGCATTATGAGCAAATAGAAGATTTTTTATCTTTGTAGGTGTTGTAGGTGAAATTAGAGTACTTGTGCTGACATCATCTTAATTTCTAATTATAGGTGCGTAAGTGTTACTCTTAAGCTTAATATCCACATTCCTCTACTTGTATTCAGCTGTCATTGCAATGTAATTATTTCTGCAGAAAAATGAAAACTACAGTATGAAAATCTAGAAATTAATAGATCTGAGTTCCACAGCGTATTTCTCCAATTCCACTTACATTTTGTCTACATTATACATTTTTTGCATCTGTTCTGATAAGGTAGTGTGGTTGAAGGTAAAACTTAGGTTTTTAGATTTAAAGCCAAGAAAGCCTAGAGTGTGTTACTGGCTGTGAGGTTTCAGACTATTTAATTTGGAGCCCAGCCAGATTCTAACACATGAGATTGATTCCTCACCCATCTAAATTGGTTTTGGAATCTCAGCTGGATATGCCATTCTTCATTCAATATGAAATGTGTCAAACACCAGATGACTATACTAAAGACATACCTACATTCTCGTCATTGTACTGGCCATTAAGAGTAAACTATGCTCAGTGCTAATCAAGAGGAGACTGAAAATGTATTATTGAGGTAGAAGTAGTCATGCATTAATTAAAAGACTAACAGGATTAAAAAAAAAACCCAAAACAAAGCAAAAAAACCAGAACCCTGAGTTTGTTTATTGTTTTCCTTCAGAAAGCCAGTAATTCAATTTGTAAATTTTCATCTGTGGAACTGCTTGGCTGTCTATCTGTTTAAACTTCTGCCTTCTATACAGTGTGATTTGAGGGAATCAATAGCACTGCTAGGACAGGCATTATCTATTTCTGATGGTCCACAGAATATTAGATCTTGACCCAGCCGTAGCTTCCATTACAGTACAAATGTCCAGGAGAATACTTGAATCATTATTTTGCTTCTGCCTGTGGAGTGTGGGGACTTTTTTTGCCTTTCCTTGCTCCACATATCCAAGTCATGACATCCACACTCCCTAAATTGTCAGTGCTCGTTTCTGTCCTGCTGTCAGTAGCCACAAAGCGGTCTTCAGTAGTCTTTGCCTAACTGCTGCTTCATTTTCATCATCTCTGAATCATGAACTTCACCCTCTCTGACTGGAAAAGGTTTACCATGTTCTGCAGCTCAGAGTCTCAAGGTGTGCAGAGACTATCCAGGAAGTAGGCACTTCTATTTTGGTGCGTTAGGGTTTTGGGGTTGGGTGGATTTTTTTTTTTGTTTGTTTGTTTTTTTTTGGTTGGTTTTGTGTATGTGGTTTTGAGTGGTTTTGGGTTTGTTTTCTGTTTTTTTTTTGGGGGGGGGTGGTCTAAGGTTCTGGGAAAGGTCGTAAAAGTATACAAGTCTGACAGATTAGGTTAACCTGGTGTGATATTCAGAGTATTTAGGAAGTTATGCTTGTACTAATTTTTAATTCCTGCTTGGAGGAGAGAAACAGTAAATTCAACTGCCACATAGTATGCCCTACGTTGTGTCCTTAATGCTATGTCTGGCTGAGCATACATTTCTAAAGCCTCAGCTTTTGCCAAGAATTCTCCTTTGGTACAGAATGACCTTGAATGGACCAGAGATTTTCTCTTAACTAGCCCCAAGTTTTGGTTTTTGTTTTGTTTTCTTCTGTGTTTTGGTTTGAGGGTTATTTTTGTTTGGTTTGGTTTGTTGTTTTTATGGGGTTTTTTTTAATAGGATAACAGCTATGCAAACCTTCTTTCTGTACCGCCACCACAGGCTACAAGTGTCGTGCTGAAAAATGAGGTTATTTTGTTGATAACTTTGGTATATTTTTAAACCTTTAAAAACATTCCATGGGAAGATGTCAGTTTCCAAGTTATTTTCATCACTGACATCGTGTGTTGTTTTCTAGGTGCTGCTATTAGCATAGCATCCCTGCTGTGAGGTATGCTTTATAGGCTGACTCTGTGAAGAGTTCTGTGCATCAGGAGCACCAGGAGTTCTGCTGCTTGCTAAATTTTTTTTTAATATTGGTGCTTTATGCTGTAGTCTCTTTTTTGTTTGTAGACTGCATCTTCAAAGTGTGAATTTACATAGGTTTAAGAGATTAACATTCATCTAGGATTTGTATCTTGTGTTCTAAAGTAGGGTTTCCATGGAAATTGAAAGGTTGCTACTATGGTTATTTCTTTGGATATATCCAGTATTTATGTACTACAGCTTCTCTTAATTGACTTTAAATACTGTATTATATTAAACATCTTTTAGAAAAGCAAAAGGAATAGTACTTGTATTGCTTACTTCAGTGCAAATGGTACAGTGCAATTGGTACAGTGCAAATAGGAATGATTCACCTTCATTACTTGAGTGTATAGACACAACAGAGTACTAAGGCTACTCCAGACATTTCAGTGGTGTTGATAACTTCATCCTAAAGAGGGGAAAGGGGGAGCCTTCCGCTGCATAATGCCCCTAAACCTAGATATGATATGCTGGGATGCTGTGTGCAATTATGCAATATGGAGAGAGTGCACAATATTTTGAGGATGCTTTGCTGGTTTAGATTTTTCTCCTTTTTTTGTTTTCTTTTTCCACTAAGGGATAATGTTTTCATGCAGCCTTGCTTAAAGAATTTAGCTTTGTCAGTGCTGTTATATTTAAGAATTTTAGAAGTTTTGGAAAGGTGATCACCCAGTCTGTGTTGACTTTTAATGGGATTTGAGTGTTTAATTCTCTCATGTTTGAAAATTCCACCCAAGCTTCTCCTTGCAGTAAATGGGTTCAATTTTTGTATTAAATTTATCTGCAATTTGCATCATTTCTCATATAGTTATTCAGACATGGAAGTGAATATATTGCTTCTCTGTGTATTGTGTAGAAAGGCAAAACAAGTTTGGAAACACATACATAGAGGAATAAATGGAACAAATTATTTTGCCTTAAGCATGTGTTCAGAATAGGTGATGTTTAGCTGCTGAAGAAAGCTGACCTTTAAAGATGTCTCACATAAAATATTGATGTAATTTCTTAGCGCTAGTAAACTTCAGCATACTTCCAGTAGGTCACCTGTAGCTCTTCATGAGCTAAAAATTGAGGTTCAAAATTGAGAGAGAATTCTCTAACAATTTGAAGGTAAAATATATTCAAATAAGGAAGCTAATTAATAGTTGAAATTACCAAATGCCTTTTATTCAAGACTGTGAAAATCAATTTATTGACATCACAAGCCACCATGAGAAAGAATACTGTGAAGGAGACCAACTCCTACCAACTCTAGGTGATGGTAAAGAGACAAAGAAGAATTTCCTTCCTAGAGCCCCTACCCTCTTGTCTTTCTCTTCTTGTATTGAAATAAAAGCTCTTTCACTTATTTCAGTGGTCAGAAGTAATTCTGCACAGATGTATGGTGACATACATCTTCCAGTGAGGTTTTATACCATCAGCCACATTGGGCATGCTATTAAAGGTGGAGCTTCAGTTGCCTGAACTAATACAATGCACTGTGTTTTGACTGCATCTGAAAACTGCCTTTTGCAGGTTATGTCCTGCATGCTTAAAGGTTAAAGGAATAAATAGAAACATCAATATGATGCATGCAGATTATCCTCTCATGCGCATTGTCTCTCTCAGAAAGAGTTATCCCACTGTTTACAGATTCTCAGCCTGTCTTTAATCCTCATGATGGCAAAGAAATAGAGTTTGAATTGCCTGAGAAGGTATATTAGGAAAACAGAGGGAGGTAGGAGTTTGGCAATACAGGTTAACAGGGGGGAGTGGTAGGTTGCCTAACTAAGCAGTCATTTAATCTTTCACTTTACGTAAGACTAGCAGTTGCCTGCACTTCAAGACAGTTGTCTTGATACAGTCTCTGAGCATCACATGATCTGTATTGAGGCATACAGAGCTGTGTCCTACATTTTATCCATGTGACAGATGACTTAAATGTATTTTTAACATGGAGGGCACTCTCATTGCTGAATCTGTAGTTAGGAAATAGTTCAAACTC